AGACTATCACTCACCCACACCAGATGGAAAACTCTACAGACTGTCGGTTCACACCCCATCACAAGCCAGCAAAACATCCACGAAACAAAGAAAGGTCTGTCACACCCAAAAAATACACTCCAGACACGCCGCTGGCACTAGAGGTATATATATATCGTCACAAACAGAACTGCCCGGTATATATTGTCACACTGTGAATCAGAGCGCGAAGGCGAAAAAAAGCAAAACAAGGAGAAAGGAAACAAAGTAAGGAAGGGAAGCCCCACCTGTTCATCACCTCTTACGTACAAGGCCAGACACGTGGATGACAGGTTGCGCGCTGACAATATATACAAAAAAAAATAAAAAATAAAAAATGATATATCGTCAAATAGAACTGCCCGGTAAACCGTAGGCAGAGAGGGAGAAGAGGACAACAAACGAGGGACTATATATATATATATATATCGTCAAACAGAACTGCCCGGTAAACCATAGGCAGAGAGAGAGAAGAGGACAACAAACGAGGGGCTGTGACATATATGTATACATATAGGGTTCAGCCTCCTGCTGAGTCGGTGAAACTCCAACGAAACAGTTTATCACAGCCCCTCGTTTGTTGTCCTCTTCTCCCTCTCTGCCTACGGTTTACCGCGCAGTTCTGTTTGACGATATATTGTCACATAACTATGATCTAAAAGAGCGCACTTTGCAAAACAAACAGTAAAGATTAAAAAAACAAGACAAACATGAGGGGCACACTGAAACCATTCATTTTCCTCATATACATGCCATTTGTCGCGAGTGTATGTTGGGCATGCTCAGTGCCAGCCGTGGCAATCGTTGTGCAGAAAATACTCAGGTAGGTCTTCCAAGTGCCCATCCACCTCATCCTTACAATGTGTGTCATCTCTGTCATCGAGGACAGACTCATCCTTGAGACTTTTCTTATCCCTACTTTCCCTTTCCTGTTCTTTGTTTGTCTTCTCTTCATCTCTCTTCCCTGTGTTTGTTTGTCTTCTCTTCATCTCTCTTCCCTGTGTTTATCACTTCCCCCTTTACTCTGTCTCTTTCTCACAGCGTACAAGTGGGCCCTTATGGCACACCGCTAGCTTCATCAACGTGGCGAGCCTTGTACGTGAATCATCCTGATGAGTCGACGAAACTCTGACGAAACAGTCTGTCACAGCCCCTCCTTTGTTTGTTGTTCTCTTCTCCCTCTCTGCGGCGCTTTGCGCCTCGCGGTTCACCAGGCAGTCTGACCAGCACTTCATGTGTGAATTGCGGCGCTTTGTGCCTCAAGTGTCACTTCAAAAAAAAAAAAAAAAACATAAACAACATGCGCGCACGTCCTGGAACATCACAGAAGCCCGAAGAGAAAGCACTTGGCTGAAACAAAAAGTTTTATGACGAGTGGCATATATAAGATTCTATAACACAATTATTGGCTCATCAAATCACTACGATGAAACAATACCACAAGA